TGTGCTGTGCTGTGATGTGTGCGTGAGGAGTAGGAGGAGGAGGAGAAGGAGGAGGAGGAGGAGGAGGAGGAGGAGGAGGAAAAGGGGAGGAGGGAAGCAAGGAGGTTCCAGGAAGACGCGGGTGCGACGCGGCAGTGAAGAAAACCTGAACTCCTTCAAGCATGTGGGGAAACATCACAAGTGTTCACGAACCCCTTGCAAAAAATGCGATGGAGTGCGCACGCGTGGGTCTTCGCGCGCGCACGCCGAAATCCTGCAAAAACTTCGGTTTCGGACGGATTTCAAAATCGAGTTCCGAACACAACATACAACAACACATGGTTTCGCAACGCTGATGTTGCAAAACAAGCTTACGCGCGCGCCCTTGCGACGTCTTACGAAAACCATAGGTTTTGCAACATTTTCAAACGATGCTACCAAACGGGCTTCGCGCGCGCATGTCAAAATCATTCGAACGCCTTTGCGCGCGTGCCGTCGCGAGAATCCTCTGCACAAAAAACGAAGTGCAGACGCGCGCGTCGTCGCGCGCGCATGCCGGAATCCTTCAAAAACCCATCGGTTTCGGAATGAACTCTAAATCGTGCGTCCAAAAAACATACAAAAACACAAAGTTTCGCAACACGGGTTTTCAACAAATGCGTGCGCGCGCGATCTTGAGTCGTCGTCGTCGTCGCCTTACTCCTTCGTCCCTCGTCGTCGTCGTCGTCGTTTTGGCGTCGTCGTCGTTTCCGTCGTCGTTGTTGCCGTGGTCGTTCTTCCTCCTTCGTGTTCGTCGGCGTTTCGTCGTTGCCCCTCCTATTTCGTGGAGGTCGTCGGCGTCGTCGTCGTCGTCGTCGTCGTCGTCTTCCCTCCTCCCTAGTCGTTGTCGTCGTCGCCGTCGTCTTCCTCGTTCCTCCCTCGTCGTCGCCGTCGTCGTCGGCGTCGGCGTCGTCGTCGGCGGCGGCGGCGGCGTCGTCGTCGTCGGCGTTGTCATCGTGGTCGTCGTCAGCGTCGGCGTCGGCGTCGTCGTCGTCGTCGTCGGTGTTGTCGTCGTCGTCGTCTTTGTCGTGATCGTCGAAGTCGTTGGAGACTCGCCCGCAACGTCTACCGTTGTCGACGTTGCCATGGTACCGCACCCGCCCAAAGCGCCGATTCGCAATGAAGTGCTGTCTGGTATGTGCGCAACGGTCAGCGCCACCGCGGCCGCGTCGGTCGCGCCAGACCAGCTGGCCGCTGCGCACGCGTGCTTGGGTTGGTGCGGCCGCAGAGACGCACCAGCCAACGCCGAGCATGCATCGCAATCGCAACCGTATGGACTTTGCAAACCAAGTTGCGGGTGGGTGGGTGGGATGTTTGCAAGAGCGCGGGATGTGTCTCTTCGTTTGTTAAAATCAGTTCTCCCTTCCAAAAAGATAATATATTCACCCCCCCTGGCGTTCGCCGCCCCCCTTCCGGGTATGTAAATCATTTATGATTCTGACCACATGTCCATCCGAAATATGAATTTACACCATCCCCGGGGAACCGGTATCGCTCCCCTTGAGGTTTCCCTTTTTTGTGAGAATAACGATACGCGGGGACGTTTTTGTTATAACATAAGAGTGTTTCACGAATCCCTTGCAAAAAACGGGACGAAGCGCACACGCGCGCGTCGTCGCGCGCGCATGCCGAAATCCTCCAAAAACCTTCGGTGCCGGAAGGATTTCGCAATCGAGTTTCCAAAAAACATATAAAAACACAAGGTGTCGCACCACAGAGTTGTTAAAACAACTTACGCGCGAGCTCTAGATATTCACAAAATGCTAACAAACGGGCTTCGCGCGCGCGCATGTCGAAATCTGGCGAACGCCTTTGCGCGTGTGCCGTCGCGAGAATCCTCTGCACAAAATGGGACGAAGTGCAGATGCGCGCGTCGTCGCGCGCGTATACCGAAATCCTTAAAACCATCGGTTTCGGAAGGATTTCAAAATCGTGTGTCCAAAAAACCTACAAACAAAAACACAAGGTTTCGCAACACGGATGTTCAACAAAAGCGTGCGCGCGCGATCTTGAGTCGTCGTCGTCGTCGTCGTCGCCGTCCTCCCTCCTCCGTCGTCGTCGTCGTCGTCGTCGGCGTCGTCGTTCTCTGTCTTTCCTCGTCGTCGTCGTCGTCGTCGTCGTCTTGGCGTCGTCGTCGTTTCCGTCGTCGTTGTCGCCGTGGTCGTGGTTTCCTCATCCCTCGACGTCGTCGTCCGTCGTCGGCGTCGTCGTCGTCGACACTCCTATTTCGTTGCCGTCGTCGTCGTCGTCGCCGTCGTCGTCTTCCCTCCTCCATTGTCATTGTCGTCGTCGCCGTCGCCGTCCTCCCTCCTTCTTCGTCGTTCGCGTCGTCGCCGTCCTCCCTCCTCCCTCGTCGTTGTCGTCGTTGTCGCCGTCATCGTCCTCCTTCTCCCCTCGTCGTCGTCGTCGTCTTCGTCGTCGTCGTCGTTGTCGTCGTCGTCGTCGTCGTCGTCGTCGTTGTCTTCGTCGTCGTCGGCGTCGGCGTCGTCGTTGTCGGCGTCGTCGTCGTCGTCGTCGGCGGTGTCATCGTCGTCGTCGTCGGCGTCGTCGTCGTCGTCGGTGTCGTCGTCGTCGTTGTCGTCGTCGAAGTCGTTGGAGACGTCGTTGGTGTCGTCGTAGTCGGTGTCGGCGGCGCCGTCGTCGTCGTTGTCGTCGTCGTCGGCGTCGGTGTCGTGGCCAAGTACCATGTGGTACCTACCGTCACGGTCTTGTCTTAAGAGGTTTTGCGACCAAGTTGTGGGTAAGAGGGTGGGATGTTTGCACGAGCAGTGGAGAGGACAGGTTCAAGACGGTCAAAGTGGATTGCATCACATTGACTGCACCACATTGGGTGCACATTGTATACTGCACATCGTAAATGGCTTTAGGTAACTTGCACAACATATATTGCACCACGTAGACTGCACCACATAGGTTGTAGCACAGACATTACATCCTGTATGTGTATGTATGTCTGTAGAAATGCATGTGTATATACACATAGATAGAATTTCATCAGGGTGGGTCCATATATGTTCCTGGGCCTACAATGCTTTTGGGATCAACATCGGCTGTCACTCACACATAGACAGAGAGGGAGATAAAGGGCAAGAAAGAGGGCGAGCGAACGAGAGAAAGAGAGAGAGAGAGAGAGAGAAAACGGTTATCAATACAGGCAACACGCATGCGACGCTCGCGAGGTGCGCCACGCGTACAGGGTGTGTGCTGCGTGCATCACCTGCCCGGGTGGCCCCATGGGCCCAGGCGTCAGTCGCGCATGGTACGCCAGATGCGGCAGGAACGCCAAGTGCGCAATTTTATCCGGCTGCGCCGGGTGCGCGACGCGCGCCAAATGCGCCAAATGCGTCAGCGCATGTGGCAGCTCATCGGGCAATATGTCGGCGACCTGTCAAGTTTCATTGCCAGAAGGTGGCGGGTGGTCAGCATGGTGTATTGCCTGTGAGGTAACAGTAAGTTCGCACATGGAGTTTTAAGGATGGTGACGGGTCACATAACTTCTGGTGTGCAACCAGTGGAAAAAAAAAGGGCTGGTGTGTTTACTCGTAGATACGGAGCAGTGGTAAACCCCTCCCCGAAAGGGAAGAAAGGGGATTGGAACAACGAATCGTTAAACACCCACGCCCAGAGGGCCGGTTGCATTCTTGAGCGCACCTCAATGAAGGTCGGGGTATTTTCGAGAAAGGGTGCAATAGAGGAATCATGAAAATGAGGAGGGAGAAGAGAGGCAGGAAAAGGAGCAGGAGGAGGAGAAGGAACAGGAGGAGGAGAAGGAGGCGGGCAGGAGGAGAGATGGAGGAATGTTGAGGGAGGTATTGCAGGCCCCCCCCCTTCTGAATGAGGACCATGCTCGGAGGATCAGGAGCAGGGAAGACGACGCCGAGGGAGGAGCAGGAGGGGGAGGGTGGGGAGCAACAGCAGCAGGAGGAATCTGAGCAGCAGGGCGGCACGGGCATGCCCAGACCACTGGCGTCGCAGTTTTTCCCAACCATCCTGTGGTGTTGGGTCCTCGTATTGAAGGCACAGCGTCCCGCGTCCCTCCACCTCCGACTTCCTCCTCGCATCCCTGTCTCTGCCCTCCGCGTGTCCCTTTTTCAGCACAGCCCTCGCGTCTCGTGGCCCCATAGGGAGCCTCAGCGAAGGTCCCGGTGGCGCAGCCCGCATGCGTCACCGCCACCCATGTCGGCACACCCATGTCGTCACAAAGAAAATTGAAAGGCGATGAACGCAAAACGGTGGGGCCCGGGGCTCGGGTCATTGCGGGCAAGCGGGGCAGGAATGCAACGCGCAATGGAATCAAGGGGGGTTGAAAGAGCTGGGAAGGAGATGGGCACGAAGCGGCGGCGCACGGGGCCCCAGTTGCAGCGCCCGCATGGCGGCCCCGCCCTTTTCCGGCACACCCCCTCAGACACTTCTTGGCCCTATGGGCGGTTCTAATTACGGCCGCGTTGGCAGCGCCCGCGTGGCGGTCCCGCCTCATTTCGGCACACCATTCACGCGCTTCGTGGCCCTGGAAGGTGAACCACAGAAGGCGATACTCGCAACGACGGTACTTACAAACGCATATTGTTGGGACATTCGCTATGCTGATGTATCACAACGTTGTCCCTGGAGCTCCAGACCCTTTACCCGGGACTGGTTTTTTAGAATTTGAGTCGTTGTTGCACGGTCCCGGTGCTCAGTGGAGCACCCCCAGATGCCGAAGGCGATGAAAAACCGCCCAGATGTTGTTACGACGCGACGAAGTCTCGAGAGGAAGGGGCATGAGATCTTCGTGGCAGTCGCGTCGTAACTCTGGCCTCCAGCGGTCGTTCGGAACGATCTGGGCCATCCCCAGAACGCTCTCGACGAGGCGCAGCGCAGCCGCTGAAACACATCTCGAGGTTGGAAAACATTATTTGGGGCATCTGCGGAAACGTATGAGAACCTTGCCGGACGAGAACGTCGCCGCTGCCGCTGACGCCGCCGCCTCCCTCCACTCGGAGGCCCGCGGCGACGCGGGCTGCGACGCGCAGTGCACCCACGACGGCCAGACGGCGACCTGTCGGGCCCACATCCACCTCGTGGCTTTCCAGGACCGCCGCCCAAGAAAGAGGGAGAAGGACCTAAAAGGGATAGCGAGAGCGGGGGGGCAGGGCGGAAAGGGGCGGAAGGGAGGAGGAGGATGAGGAGGAGGGGGGACGAGGACGGAGCCAAAGAATGCCGAGGGAGGGGTCAGAGGAGGGCGCGGACGAGGAGGAGGAGGAGGAGGAGGAGGAGGGCGGGGACGAAGAAGGAGGGCGAAGGAGTGAGGAGGAGTGGGAGGAGGACGAGGAAATGGAGCAGGAGATGAGGAGGAAGTGGAGGACGACGACGAGGATGAAGGCGACGACGACGACTGCAGCAGCCCTTCTTGGCGCCGGGAGCTCTGGGGAGTCGTCCCCTTGGGTCACGGAGGTCGGAGGCCTCCTGAGGCCCCTGGAGATTTCCTGCAGGCTTCCAATCGACGTTCTTGAGCTTCGGAGTTCGACCGACGTCCCTGTCACGGAGGCAGGAGCTCCTGTGCACGCCATCGTCTCTGTCGCTTTCTTCGCAGTCGTTGTCGCCGCCGCGGCGCCCAGGAGCTCTTGGGCACGCCCCCCCTCCTCCCCGCCGTTTTCCTCTTCCTCCTCCTCCTCCTCATCCTCCTCCTTTTCCGTAGCCATTTTGACTCAAGATGTTTGTGTCCTCGGGGCCACAAGTGGATACCTCTGGTCCGAGGCTAAATCCAGTTTCAGGCACCCCCAGTCGAGCTGCGCACTGCTGGGGCCAAGAGTCTGTCTCCCTTCCACGGAAGTGCTCGCCTTCCCGCAGAGCGCGGCGGCCACGACAGTTCTCCATATTACCAACCTCCGTCAGCGCCCGCACAGTCACAACGGATTTTGGTGGGTACAGTGCGGAAGCTCCTGGCGGTGGTCGTCCGATCCTATGCTTCATTATGATTGCAGCAGCTCTGACGTTCCCCGAGACACAGATCGCAGCCGCAGCTACAATGCCGAAGCTCGCAGACAACAACACCATGAACGTCCTTTTCGCCGCTCTGGTCGCCTTCGTCGCGGCTTCCGAAGACCGCGAACGACGTCGAGTACTTGCACGGTCTGGTCAAGATGGTCAACGTCAACCTGGTCGCTCTGGCACTAATTGTCACGAACATGGCGCAGGTACGAGCAGTGGAGCTGGTGACGCGGCTACCATCTGGGATACTGTATCTCATGCTGAGCGCGAACAGCTTCCTGGCGATGCTGAATTGGTACCGACTTTTCCTGACGCTCGAGTCCGCGATGCTCCTCATGCTGACGACCATGTTGTCCCTGCTACTCCTGTGGCCAGTCGTAAGGCCGCAGATCCACTGCAGGCGCAAGACCCGTGGCGAAGTGCACATGCTGATGATGCTTCGCGAAGCAACTCAGGTGGACATCGATACTGCACATGCTGCTGCAGCTGCTGCTGCTGCCACTGCTGCAGCCGATGCAGCGGCTTCTCAACTACAACCCGTCGCAGGCGAGCTCCGCGCGTCGTTCCTTGCAGAGTTGGCGCGGACGCATCGGCGCCTGGATATTCAAGCTCGCGAAGTCCCAGAAATCCGTCAACGGCAGGATCGTGCTGCTGCTGACCTAGCTGCCACACGCGCCGCGGTTGAGGACATTAAGCGGCAGCTGGCAATGGCTGAAGCACAATTCCCATTCGACGTCGACAACCTGGTGACGTGGGACCGCACGATTGACCCTCTCATCTTCTCCGTGGGCACGGTCGCTCCTGCTGTTCCTGGTGCTGTTCGTGGGGCACTTGCCCCATGGCTGGCAGATGCGAAGCTGCTGCCCGAGCAGGCGGACCTCGCCGGTGACGCTGTGGCAAGACGATTCACCTTGCGCGCTTGGGGCAGCAAGCCTGAGGCCAGCTCCCGCGCCACCGCTCTGGTCAGGAACTTGCGCACTTCTGCTGGATGGCGCACTTTCGAGGTCTCCTCTACTGAAGGGGCCATGGTCGCCATGTACGTATCGACGGATAAAAGCCCCAAGATGGTCCGTGGCGATGTGCAATCTAAGAGGACGACGAAACTACTGGAGGAAAAGTACCCTACACTCACGTGGCGATGTCGGCGACCTCAGTACCAGGTGCTGGTCAATAGCCTGCCCTGCTGCCGGCTCGAGCCTCTGGGACAGGACGAGCCGACGCGTATCAGGTGTAACGACAATGCGATTGCGCAGCTCAATATTGACACGGCGACGATCGAGGAAGCCTTCAATGCCGCTTTCTCTGCTGCGGAGGTTCAGTGGTCTGGGTAACATTGGCTGGGCTCCATGGGGGCCATTTCGCCGAGATGCCGAACGCGGCCAGCGTTTGATATGTTGGAATGCTCGAAGCCTCCTCTGTCTTGGCACGAAGAAGCGCGGCGCCAAGCTGCGGACCTTGATAGAGTACATGCGGCAGCGCTTCCTCGTTGTCCTTCAAGAGGTCCGAGGATATATAGGCAGACTACAACGGCTCGTCGATGACGCGCCCTACACCTACGAGTGCTTCGTGTCCGCGACAGGTGTCTCTGTTGGTGGGGTGGCGTTTCTTGTTCCGCGCCATCCGCCTCAGCAGCCAGTGCCTGAACGCCTGGAGCCAGCGCGCATGTTACGCTCTATCGTCCCAGGCCGCGCCGCTGCCTTGCATGTCTCGCCCCCTGCGCGCGAGCATTCCATGTGTATTTTGGACGAGCGCAATCATAATCTCGCTGCTCTCCATGCGTGCGAAATCGAACGCTTCTGGCCTCAACAAGTCGCATTTGCAGCACAGCAGAGGCGCGCCTCTAAGTCCGTTGCTCTCGGTGACTTTAACAACCCTGCATATCCCCCTCGCTCTTGTCGCTCCCCGCTGGCCCCTCGCCCTGCTCCGACTCCGACCCTTCCTGCCATCGATAATCGTGGCCAGCGCATGCAAGCTCGGCGGCGGCGCATGTTCGCATCCGTCACTGAGACTACGAATGATTTACCCACTCGGCACGATTCTCATCGAATGCAGGGGACGAGCATCGATGGGGTTTTCATCTCAGGGGGGGCAGCTCAGCTGATGCTGGTAGATGCCACGCTGCAAATTGCGCGCGAATGCACGCGCATGTCCGACCGTGGGTTTTCTGAACATGCAGCGCTCACGCTTAAACTCGCTCAGTCCACCGCTCGCCCCCCCCACAAGAGCGAGCCTTTCCCCCCTGCCTCTTTCGCGCCGCGGAGTTTCAACATTTGTTTGCCAGCGTGCTCCCGTGCACAGATTTTGGGCTACTTGAGACTATCGCGACGCGGCAAGGGGCGAAGGAAGTCTGGCATGAAGCCGCCGCTGTCACTCGTGACAAACTTCAGGGGCCCGAGTATTTGCACAACGCTCGCCCTGAATCGCCGGTCACTCGCATGCATTTGTTTCGCCCCATGGCTCGGGCCCCCTGGCGGGGCTCATTTCGATGCCGCCAGTTCGATTCGAGTCGATTTCGATGGATTCCGATTCCGATTCGATTCGATTTCGGATTCCGATTCGGGATCCGATTGGTCACTGGAGGCCTTCTAGCCTGCCGATGTTTGCCGATTCAACTTTTCCCGACTCGGCTGCCGATCACCGTCGATCCGATTCATTTCGATCGCCGATCCGATTTGTCGATTCGATTTCGGGCTCCCCTGCCCTGTCGGAACGATGTGCGCACTGCCGCTCGCCTCATCGCTACTGCCCCTCTTGCTGCTTCTCACCTCGTCGTCGTTGATGGTCAGGTCTGTCTCCTCGATTCCCCCTCCTTCCACGCGCGGCGCGATGCAGCGAGCGGCGAGCGGCGCCAGCGGCGCGCGCTGCAATCTAGCACGAGTGTCTCGCAATATGATAAGTTCGGTCGGCACAGGGGCGATGCATGCCAGCGTAAGATTAAGCGCAAAGCTGCCCGCAGAGCCCGCTCGTGGACGCCATGGTCTCGCCAACTACGTTGAGAGGGTGCGCGTGCACACGTGCGTGATGATAGTGGCGAGAGAGTTGATACTGTTATGAATGATCAGGAAGTCCCCAATGCAGTGCAATCTCACTGGCAACCCATCTCTGCTGCTCGCGAGTCGTGCGACGCGGACACCCTCGCCTTTCTGCACTCTGTCTCTCCGCATGCCCCCACCTTCGACGCCCCCGCGCCCAGTGCGGAAGCACTGGCATCGGCGCTGCCGCGTGCGAAGCCAAGTGCTCCTGGTCCTGATCGTCTGCCCGGCTCTGCCTGGCTCCCCGACTCTATTGCCACATCTACCTTGCATCGCGTCCTCGTGCACATCTGTTCTGGTGGCAGCTTACCGCACGAAGCTAATCACTCGTTGTTTGCGTTTCCCAAAAAAATTGGCGGGCGAGCTGGGCGCCGTTCGGGTTACTCGAAAGAGTCAGGATCTTCGCCCGTCGAGTCTCAAAAACAGCGACATGAAAACGACAAGCTCGGCAGTCAATTTCACGCGGAAGCCACTTGCAGAGCAGCGAGTCCATCGGAGTCAGCAGAGGTATATCATTGGCCATAGTTTCGTTGGCTACATACCCTTGCTTGACGCAGAGGCGAGGCGTGCTGGCTGGCTTGAGGACGGATCAAGCAAACGCCCGTTTCTCCTTTCTTTCTGTTGTAAAGCTGCGTTTCCAGACTCGAGCCGCCGCTGGCTGGAACTCACATTGGCCCATTATGGCGTGCCGATCGGCATCGCCTGAGCCGTAGGAGCGCTCTACAACGCTCCGATCGCCTTCGCTCGGTTCGGGGGCATGCCACCCACGCCAATGTGCGAGCTCGCCAGCGGTGTGTTGCAAGGATGCCCCCTGTCTGGCAGCCGATGGGCACTGGGCGTGGATCCGCTGCTTCGCCATCTGCGGCGGCCTTTTTCCCACACTTAACCATGGCGTGGTGCAAGCGCGCAGGCGACGTAGGCTTGAGTTTACTGTGCATACAACAGCTCGCCATGATTGCGGAGACTTTCAGCTTCGCTGAACAGCTCGCTGGCCTTGCGTTTCAGCCTGCCAGCTGTGTAGCTGCACCGTTGCGGGCCCCATTCTTACCAGAGGTGCAGAACCAAACCCGCCGTGATATTGCGGAGTCTTGTGGCGGGTGGGGCGCGTTTCAGGTTTCGGACGCGGTGAACTACCTCGGGGTTTGGCTCGGCCCAGGAGCGACCGCTGACTTGCAGTGGAAAGCTCAGCCGAAGAAAATGTGGAAGCGGATTCATCTCGCCAGCCTGACTCGGGCCCCTCCCTCTGATCTCGCGCTTTTGCATGTTTCTGCTATTCTTCCCACGTTGAGTTATGTCTCCCAGTTGTTCTTGCCCATTCCGAGGCTGCTCCGAAGAGGTATTCACGGTTGGCATAAATGGTGCAGGCTTCCCGCGGGTGCTATGAAGTGCTCTGCCATCTTAGCATTAGAGGCGTGGTTTCGAGGAGGAGGGCCCATCGCCATCTTGCCATTCTCTCTCGAATCCACGCGGCGGACGCGCGCCGCTACCTCGACGAGTTGGCAGGTGCACTTCCAGTTTGCGAGAGGCTGCACCTCATCACGCTCCGCTTCCCTCGTTTGCTGTCCAGAACTGGTCGCCTGCTTGATGGCGTGAGCAAGAGGCAACCGTGCAAAGATGCGATGAAAGCTGTTCGTGCAAGCCGATCTGTTTTTCCAGGTCTTGCACAAATTCTGCAAGCATGCTGCTCGCTGCTGCAGGGGTGGGGCTGGCGGAGGTTGCGCGGACGGAGGCGGAAGGGGAACGGGGAACCTACGTTGCAGCGCGCTGTTTGTGTTGCCCTGACCCAGCAAATGTATCCCGAGCAGCTTGTCGACGCGATTCAAACTCTTGAGTAACTGGTATCTGGACCTTGCTCTTCCTCCTGGCCTCCTCTCTCGCTGGCTCTTTCTTTGCTCGTATCTCAGCAAATGTCCACCCGCGGTGCGCTGGTGTTTCCTGAGAACTCTCAGTGGAGCATGGACCACTAGCAATCGAATGCATGGCGTCCCAGGTTATCATGCTTGTTTGCTGGGATGTCCGAACTGTGTAGACTGCGCGCATCATTCGTTGATGTGTAATAGGTTTGTCGAGCTTGTGGCTGACCGCAGGTGCCATGTGTTCTGAGGTGTTAGTGGGCTGGGCTTGGGCGGCGAAAAGGGGCACGCGGGTCAGTTTTCACTCGCTCGTGTTGTTCGCTTTCTCTCTCTCTCTCTCTCCCTCTCTCTCCCTCGCCTTCTACATGTATCGCGCCATGAAGAGAGAGATCGGCGCTCCCCCATCACGATCTTACTTCCGTCGCAGCTGCCGCGCGATTTCGAGCAGTCGCCATTCACCGATTGCGTGTCGGGCGAGTGATTGGGACTCTCTCAGGGGACGTTCACTCCTCCTCCTCTTTCTCCTCCTTCTCCTCCTCCTTTTCTGCCTCAGTACTCCTTCTCCTCCTACTCCTTCTCCTCCTCCCCCTTCCCCCCCCTCCTCCACTTCCCGATCCTTGCTACTCGTCGCTGCGGCGCCAAGGAGCTCCTGGGCACGCCCGACTCCTGCGACGCCGCCCGCAACATCACGATCGCACGTTGCCCCGCATGCAGGGGCTGCAGCATGGAATCCGCTGGGCGCGGCCCAGGGCGTGGTGGGAAGGGAAGGGGAAGGGGAGGAGGGTGATGAAGCGGGATGGGTGAGGGCGAGGAGAGAAGTTCGAGGGCCCGATAGAGAGCTTCCTAGTTGGAGGCGGGCGATGAAAGGATTTGTGTGTTCGCCTTTTTCCCCACACGGTGTTTGCACTTTGGGCTCTTATGTTTTTGAGGCAATTGTTGAGAGCTGGTCCGGCCGGCTCGTCGCCGTCTGTCGCCGCCGCCGTCGCCGCCGGTAGTTAATTGGGCCTGAGTGCTGATCCGAACAGCTCGTTGCCGCCAGTCGCGGGCCGTCGCCGCCGCCGTCGCCGCTGGCAATTGAGCCCCACTGGCAGTCTGGCCAGTTCGTCGCTGCCCCTCGCCGCCGTCGTCGTTGGATTGCGTTGCGCTGCAATCGCCTTGTATTGCATTGTGTTGCAATCGCAGCGCGTTGTTTGCATTGCTGCGCATTGCTTTGAAGTACATTGTATTGCTTCAGGATACAATGTACTGCTCTGCAGCACATCGATTGCACCACATGGATTGCACCACCTAGACTGCACCGCGTCGATGACACCACCTCGACTGCACCGCATCTATCGCAAGACATCACTGTTCGGGGTCCACGCTAGCGATCATCCCTCTTCATTATTCCTTCCCCTCCTCCTCCTCCCCCGATCATCCTCTCCTCATCCTCCTCTTCCCCCTCCTCCATCCCACCGCCGTGCTGGTTGTACTCCTCCGTTCCCCCTAAGTCGGCCTCGCGTACTGTCGCGTACCTTGTCCCTGCTCTTTCCCTATGGAGCAAGAACAGGGCACGCTGAGCTAGCGGCGGCGCATCCGCGGCTGGTCACGAAGGAGAAGAAGAAGGATAAGAAGTATAATCAGGAGGATGCTAGAAGAGGATGTGGAGGTGAAGGGTGAGAAGGAGATAAGAGAATGATGATATGTGGAGGTGAAGAAGAGAAGGAGGAGGATGAGGAGGAGAAGGAGGAGGAGGAACATGTTGATTTAGGTTGAGGAGGAGGAGAAGGAAATACGTCGATGAAGAAGAGAATGATGAGGAAGAGGACGTCGAGAGGATCAGGAGTAGAAGGCTCCCGTTCTATAGATTGGTTGTCCTCCGTTGCTTCATCGTGCTCACATCTCTCCTCCCTCTCCCCCTTTTCAGTTTCATCTTCTTGTTTCTCATGCTCCTCCTGCGGTTCCTTCCCTTCCTTCTCCTCTTCACCCCGCCCGGCCCGCCTGCCGCCCCCGCGCCGCCTTCGAGAGGTGCGACGTGCTCTCGGCCCCGGCCGTGCCCGAGGCCGACACGCCAGAGGAGGCTTGCGCGATCACCTGCGAGGTGGGGGACCAGGCCCTGCGGTGTCGTCGTCCTCGGGGAGGTGTTGCCTTCTCTCCTCTTCCTTCCTCCTCCTCCTCCTCATCCTCCTCGTCTATCTCCTCGTAGTGAGCAAGGGGGGATATCCTCTTCCTCCTCCGTCTCGAAGTCTCGCAGTAAGGGGCTGTCTTGTCGAATGATAAGCCTTCGAACCCCTTCCACCAGCGGTGTGGGGGGTGAACCAAAAAACCAAAAGGGAAGAGAAACATGCAAGAAGGAACGACCGAACGGCGAGAGCGACGGATGCCGAACAAGCATTTGGAAACCAAGGAGGGGGGAGGGAGGGAAAGCGAGGCGCCCGGGCGTGGGTGGCTGCGGGTGGCTGCGGGTGGCTGCGGGTGGCAGGTGGAGGTGGCCCGAGGGGGGCCCCCACCCCCCCGAGGAGGGGGAGTGACGGCCCCCTCGGCCAGGCTCTGAGGTGGGCGCGGCGGGGGCTGCACCCCCCCGCGGCGGCCTGCGGCGAGCACGGCCTTGCTGGCTTCCTCCCGCCCCGGTAACGCCCACCCCATTCCTCCTCCCATGGGTGGCTGCGTGCTGCGGTGGGGTGGGGTGGAGAAAATTAGAGGGCGAAAGGTGGGGGTAAAGGGGCGGGGAAGGTTAGTGTGTGCTGGAGGTACCTCATGGGAGGTAGTTAGAGCAGGGTGACGCCAGCGTCCATGGAGCATGTGATGTAGTAGACGGCAAGGTGCACGTATTACCTGAGGTTGCGGTTGTGGAGGGCGGCGTGGAAGGCCGCAGGCGTCCGGCTGGACAACCTTGGAAAGGCATGGAGTTGCGGGAGTTGGAGTGCACTGCTCCCTGTTCGGGAGGTGTAGAGGCTGCCGCTGCCGTGTCGCGTGGTAGTTGGTGTTGTTGCCATGGTGGCAGTGAGTGCGCAGCCTGGAAGTGGTAGTGCAGTGGGAGGTGGGGAGCAGGTGGTAGCCAGCTGAGTTGTGGTCGCGCTGTCGTGGAGCAAAACTGGTGGAGGCATGGGACAGCTGCGCTCCGCCTGCGCAGCTGCAGCTAGAGAGGTGTGACGCTCCGGGTGATGTGGTCTTGATGCTGGTGCTCCTCACGGTAAGGGCGGCCCGTGCCACGGCTCCTGCAGCCAGCATAAGGCAGGGATTCGATGTTGCCAAGCTGTTGGCTGGGGTCGTCGCTGCAGGTGCAGTTGTTCCCTGCGCCTGGTGGCCACCCATCCTTGCATGGGAGTGCGTCGGGTGGAGGCAGCGTCGGTAGAGTGTGTCGAAGTGGTAGAATTCGCGGTGGTGGTCCTGGTTGCCGTCGCTGGACCCCGCGCCCACAGCTGGGCTGCTGTTGAGCTCGTTCTGGCTGGTCCGACGGTGACTGGTTTTCACGTAGTAGATGTTACCGTGCATGATGTCGTGTACTGACTTGCGGTACTCGTCCAGGTCTTCCGTGTCCATGATGAGGCGCAGCTTGAAAATAATGTCGGTGATGCTGGACACGTAGGCTACGTACTCGATAAGGCGGCTTGGGTTCATTCCCTGTGCATTGTGGCGTGGGGATTCGGGGTCCTCGCCCTGTTCGTGCGCCTGGTGCGTCGCTGTGCCTGTGGTCCGCTCGCCCCATGCCAAGTAACCCGTCGGTGTCCACGCCCTTGGGTCGGGCGGCGCCACGACACATGTGATGCGATTGTGCTCGCCCTTGATACAAGTGTCATCTGAAGTCCAGTCCTTGTAGGCCTTGCGGATCGGGTTGATGTCGCCTTTGCGGTGGTCCAGGGTCGTCCGGAAGAAGATCGCGATTGGGAAGTAGTTTCGTTGCTTCGCAATGTGTGGATATTCATGGGCGTCTTGGCTCCCGTGTGCGCTGTCGTTGGTCGGAATGGTCGCGGTGACCTCGGTGTTGCTGCTAATGGGCGTGGGCTCCTCGTGATTTTCGGCTTGGTCCTTGCTGCCACCGCTGCCTTCACCACAATGCACGGCTGAAGGGACTTGGCCGCTGGAGCTGCTCGGTGTGACGACCTCGGCGTTGGCTTCGGCGTGCGCTGGTGGCGTCGCCTTATGCTGCGGTGATGGCGGTTGAATGGCCGGCGGCGTCGGCGTAGCCGCGTGGGTGTCGTAAGTGTTCGTGTTCCGTGGCGATGTTCGGCTTCCCTTCGCTGTCGGTGTAGGGCCCCTCTTGGGGATGTCGATGGGAGATGCGTTGTAGCGGGGTAGCTTTGTGTGTTCGATTTGCGCGTGCGTAGTAGCGGGCGTTCCCGTCGGTGGCGCGGTGATCTGCTGAGCAGCAGCAGGTACGGCTCGTATCTGTGGCGCCTTGGGGTTGAATGCGATCGTAGTATGTCTCATGAATGGTAGCTTCAATCGTTCCATGAGTCGGTTGCGGCTTGTCAACGGTGAGGATTTCATCGGTACGAGGGCGCAATTGGTCGTCTTCTTCGTGCCACGCTTTGCTGTTGCGAGTGACGATGCCGGTGGAGGGGCAAGAGTTGCATTTGGCGTCCTTCGGGTTGCCCATTCTGTGCCATCGTGGACCTGATGTCCTGCACACTGCCAGAGTGGTTGGAGTCGGGGGGTCGGTACTAGATCCTGGGTTTTGGTCCTTCAGGCGTAGCTTGTCAGCGCCGTCTTGGATGTTCCATAGCTTTTGTAGGCTCGATCCCATGTGGTGCCCGTGATCATGTCTCTCGCAATGTCGCGTACAATCTGTGCGGCTTCCAGCTGTGGGTTGCCGAAGTTCATGTTGGTAATGATTGGAGCTGGGTCGCGGTGGCTGAGCTAGTAGATGACGAAGACGATCTTCTTGCTGCCTTCCTCGTCGTTGTCGCACTTGTTCTGGAACCGCACGAGGCGCATCTGCTCAGGTGGCGCTGACGTCGATTGCCTTGTTGGCCCTCTCGGGCGGTGGTCCTGGCGGTGGTGGTGGCCTTGGCTCGTCACCATTTTTTATTCTATGGTCTATGGTGGCCTGGGACGTAGTCCCCCGAGTTCTCACTGCGGTACCTGAAGGTTTCCTTGTTGGCGCTTGTGAAGTGTTTTTGTTCAATGGTGTACGTAGTCTCCAGTTCTCTGGGGACTCCCAAGTAGACTCGTTGTTCTACTGATTGTGACAAAATGCCTGAGCCACGTTGACCTTGAAATGCGCTCTCCACCGGTAGGACAGCTTCATATGATGCGAGTGTAGCGCCAGGAGTCCTGCATTGAGGTCGGGAGTGTCGGGGTTGCGTGCCGTCGGTTCGTAGATCAGAAGCTTGGTCTTGCGTGAGGCGTATGAATTATATCTCAGTCGCCTGTGAGGATCATTCTGCTCAGCCGTCGGGTGCGCCGCCCATTGTGGAGTTGACAGAGGTGCTGGTTTGGTTGCCGGCACTATAGCTGAGGTCGCGATCTGTTAGCAGTAGGAGATGGCTTGTGCCCTTCTCTCCTCGGGTGGTGTGAAGGTACGGGAGGGTATTCTGGCTGCTAGGGCGGTAGAGTGCCAGATGGGGCATCGACTCTGGAAACCATGTGCCTGCCTGATCAATCAATACATATCGCCGTGTCTTCACGACTCATCGGCTGAGGAAGTGCCGCCGGCTGGCGGCGCATGTCCAGACCAGGGCACAGAAATCAAGGACAGTTCAGGAAAAGGTATGCCGGCTGGCGATTGTCCTCCACACGTGTGGATTCTAGTTTCCAGGATTGAGAAATTGAAACAAATCGCTCTCCTAAGGGCCAGGGGCGGGAAGAGGGAGGGCAGGAGTGGGGAGGAGGACGAGGAGGAGGGGGGGAGAGACCCCTGATCGCCGATAAGGCGTGTGCTCTGACCACTGAACCCCACGTCAACTGGGGTCGGCCTCTCCGCCTCGGTGCATGTGGGCTGGCGGGCTCGACAGATCCTGCGCCGAAAATGGTGTGCTGAGGAGCGAATCCGGCATGGCCGCGATCCTGCCAAAAAACATGAGTTTTCGGAACAGGACTGTTTGGCTCAGTGCCACTTCGTGTGCTCGTCGACGCACCTCTGCATTCGTGACCCGCAACACTAAGGAGTGCGGTACGCCCAATACATGCCGAAGGCATTGCGCGTGGAAGGCATCGAGCTTGTCTCGCTCAGCTCTCTTGAGGCAGAGCATCTCGATGCCGTAGATCAATTTGCTTATGATGTACGTCTGGAGCAACGTAAGCTTGCGTGCTCGCCGGATGCTGGCATGCCGCCATACTAGCTTGAGGGTGTGAAGCGCAGCCCTCGCCTCTCCGATCCTCCTTGCCACGGCTGTGCCAGTGGCGCCATTTCCGCACAAGAGACCCACAAGGTAGACTGCAGACGTCACCGGCTTCATTGGGACTCCGTCTGGAGTGAAGATGTCCGAAGCATGCCTGACTCGGACATGCATGGTCTTCGTCCAAAATGGTTATATTCCGTACGCGTGGGCCCTCGCAGTGAGACAGTTCAGGACATGTTGCGTTCCTGGTATATCATCTGAAATAAGCGCCGCATCGTCGGCAAAAGTGCCATCGAAACACATGTTATCCGATGGAGTTGGGTCGAGCTCGTTCGCCAAGCCGGCCTGTACATCCGTCTTGAGAACGGACAGCATAATGATGGGCAACCTTGGGCAATGCCCGCGCCTATTGGGCGAGTTCCGGAGGAGCCATGATTATCTGTCATGTCGAACGTGCGATTGGTATACATGTTCTTGGTAATGTCGCAGTTCAAGCAGTGGCGAAGCGTCTTGGCTCGCCTACAGGCCTACCAAACAATGTTCTAAGAACTGTTTGTGATTTGTACGAAATGTTCTTAGAACCGTTCTGGCTCGGACTGTCTTGTTTTAACACATCGGGTTCATGTTCTAAGAACATTACTTTTGTTATTCCCTACCTAGGCTCTGCCTAGAAGGGTTCTTAGTCTGTTGCTCAAAGGGGCCGGGCAGTGCAAAGCGCCCCGGGCGGTTCCCCCGGTCCCCTGGGAGCCCAGCGAAAGCAACAGCAAAGGTAAAAGCAAACGCGTGGCTCCCCCAGTTGAGCTCCCAGGCTGCCAAGCAAAAGCATAAG